ACCTCCACCGCCAGCCGCCAGCCCAGCCCACCCACTCGCCTTCACCGACATCGACACCAACTGACGATGGCGCACCCATGACCACTTCCTAGCCTGATCCTACTCACTCTCCCGTCTATCCTCCTCCATCTCGCCCCGCAGCCCACAACTGCCCCCTCCTCCAATCCCAAGCCCTCGTCTCCATCGACACCCCTCCTGCCAACTGCGCCGCTGATCATGACTAGGCCCCAAGTCCGACTGGCCGAGAACAAGCCACTCCTCCTCTCACTCCCCTCCCAACCACATCCTCATGCCCACCTCCCCTGAACCCCTGCACCCACTCCCATCGGTCTACCGTGCCTCAATCCCGACGACGACGGGCACGGTGACTTGGACGACCCGTCAGCAATCGCATCAGCAAGATCAGCAGCATCAGCAGCATCATCTCTATCACACCCAATACAACCCAAACACAAATAACAAGATCACACCCACCGCCATCGCCCCCATCCCCACCATGACTCTTGCCCCTCGTCATTTACCGCCCAGCCTCTTCCACCTTCACAAGCCCTCCCCCGATAACGTACTCGGCCACCATCCGCCGCCGCTCTCTCACGTCGCTCAGCACGCCAAGGATCGAGTCCCACGACTTGCCTTCCTCGACATTCATCCGCAGCAACTCCTCCCTGCTCGGCATCCGGATCGCCTCCAGGAACTTGCGCCGCTTCCACTCGCGGTACTCGCCAGACGACATCCCACCGCTGGATTCCGAGCTCGAACCGCTGCTCCCTGCATCGCTCACGACCGCAATCACACACGACGATTCCCCGCCATCGCCACTGTCCGACGCCATCTGTAGCGCTTTCCTCCGTCGCGGCGCGCAATCCCCTCCACTACGCCCACCACCTCGTCCACGCTTCACCAGCCAGCTCCAATCACAGCCTTGCTGTCGGCGTCAAACACCAGCCACCTCCATCTCCCCGGCCTCCACATCCACCGCAAGCACAAGCCCATGCCGCAGCACGCCCGCCACACGCACCATCTCCTCCATCTGCCGTGCTGGAGACGCGACGAGATCGGCATTGGTGTTGTCGCGTGGTACTCGAACCCCGCTGTCGCTTCAATGCCAACCGCCAGCCCACCCCTCTTCCTCCATGCAGAGCAGTGACATCCACCTTGCGCTCAGTGCGGTAGCGGCTAGTGCTGAGCGGGCCAAGGTGTCGCGTAAGAATGCCCACAGTAACCGCGCGCCTATCTCGTCCACTAGGAAGTTGTACACCCCACCGGCTCGGGGAAGGTTGCCCGTCAGTTCGACGGCTGCCCGCTGCTGGTCACGCAGCGCGGCCGCGAAGGCAGACACCCGATCGAGCCCAACACAGGCAAGATGCAGTTTTGGCAGAAAATAGGCACTCTCCGCGATGGTGATTGTACCTTGCTCTTGAAGGGCTGGTTCAATGACGAGGAGGAGTTTGTGCTCTCGCTCCTGTTGCACAGCTACGCTCACGATGGGCTTGACGCCATCATGAGGGCCAAGAAGGGCGAGGAAGTGGCCTCGCTTGTGCGTGACCTGAGAGCCCTCCCCGTCACCAACACTGTCGATCCTGCCGCGGAAATAGCTGCCCGCGAGCCGTCCAACGGCATCTTTGCGCGGTCAATCACTCCGGCTGCTCTCGCGCGGCGGGCCAGGAACTCGCTCAATCACCTGCCCGCTCCCGGGTCCAACAAGGCCGATCCCATCGCCGTCGGCAATGTGATATTTCCCAAAAGATACCCTAGTGCCGACGACCTTCGCTTGTTTAATGCCGATCTCTCTCTTTCCCGCGCCCGTGTCCTTGCCGTTGCCGAGCTCCGCGCCCAGGCCGCCGACGCCTACGGCTTTGTGCTCGTCGATCCGCCGCTGCAGAGCTCCGAGCTCAAGCCTGTCGACATCACCGCCACTTTCAAGAACCGCAAGTTCACCGTCGATGTTTCCGCTGAGGCTGGCCGCCATGTTCTCAACGGTCGCGCCTATCTCTTCCGCATCTACCTTGGTGGCGACGAACTCGGCGTGTGGTGGCTCGAGCCTTCCGAAGTCAAGCAAGCTGTTGCCGAAATCATCCACGCCCTGCGCAAGGACCACGAGGTCGGCATGGAGCACCTCCATGCGCCATTCTATGCCTGTACCTCGCCGCACTCGGGGAGCGCGGTGTCCGCCGTCGCACCGTCGGTCGAGGAGCTCAATCACCGCCTCCTCGTCATGCGCTATACCAGCCGCTCCTCGCCGCGCTGTCCGCGATCGAAGGTCATGAACAACGCTCTTTACAACGGGAACTCGGTCAAGGTCGTGCGCTGTGACTCGATTCGCCGCGGCGCCAACGAGCTGCTCATGATCATGTCCGCTGGCCAGTCGCTCTTATGCGAGTGGTGCACCGCCGAGGAGTCGATTGCTCTTTTCCACCAAATTGTCCTCAAGCGCATCAATGAGATCAACACCGCCCACGATGTTTCGTCGCCACCCCTCAAGCCCGACCCCGCTGCCTTTGACCGCAACAATGGTCGCCCCGGCGTCGTCGTCGTAACCGATGACGCCCTTGGTGCCTGTCGCGTTGCGCCACACATCGTTACTCGCTTCCGTGTCGTCTGGGCTACAGACGAGCCCGAGTCTGTTGGCATCGGCTGGTGGAGCTCGACCGAACTCAAGCTCGGCCTCGCCCGCAAGTCCCCGCCAAGCGACTCGGCCTCGACATCGGCCACGCCCGGCCACACTCGCAAGCGCCGGCGCCCGGCCTCAAAGTCAACCGCTCACCCCAGCAAGCGTCGCAGGCGCGTTAAGATCCGGCGGCGCGTTCGCGTCACTTCGCAAACCTGATTCGTACACCCACCACTGCCGACTACCAACCGCTGTCACAGCCAGGCACAGGCAGGACTGGTCACTCGCCGCAACCAGACGCCGGCTGACGACAGCTGTCCCCCTCCCCCCCCCCCCACCCCATACACACCTGTGCCAAAAAAAAATGGTTCCACCCGCCATCGTTTTCCCGGCTTTGCCAATCGTTACTCATTCACGCGCTAGTTGCCCCCCACCCGCTCACTCTGTCGGCCGGCTTCCCGCAAAGCATAAAGACGACACCACCAGCTCGACATTCGTCTCTCTGCAGAGAGTACCAGACAGACTCAGCACCCGTACGGACCCGCTCCCCCTCCCCCCCCCTCCCCCTCCCTTTCTCCCTCTCCTTTTTCCTCTTTCCTCAATCACACTTACCTCTGCACGCTTTCGCAGCATGTCGGCACACGTTGGTCTTCTCGTTTTCGTCCTCGCGTCCACGCTGCTGCTAGCAAGCACTTCAACCGACGCCGCGACCGTTCTGGTGAGCACCACCAGCGAGCTGACCAATGCCATCAACAATGTTGCGGCGGGGGATACCATCCAGCTTGCTGCTGGTGCCACCTTTGCGTACTCTGGTGTGACTCGGCTGACCTGCGACGCTGACGGCACCGCCGCCAACCCCATCACTGTCCAGGGCCTACCCGGCTCGACCATGACCTGGACCCACTCCTCCAACTACGTCGAGGGTTTTGTGGTCACTGGCAAGCACTGGATTTTCGAGGACCTCGACATCACTGGCACCTGCTCTAACCACAACTACTGCGAGCACGCGTTCCATGTCCAGGGCGACGCTGACTTTTTCGTCATGCGCCGTTGCGTCATCAAGAACTTCAACGCCCAGATCAAGTCGAACATCGGGGGTGGCCAGTTCCCTGACGATTGTCTCCTCGAGCACAACGAGTTCTACAACACCGGCGGGCGCCAGACCTCAGCGCCGGTCACCCCGGCCAACATCGACGGTGGCGAGCGGTGGATTGTCCGCAACAACTACTTCCACGATGCGTGGAAGGACGGCGGCAACACCATCTCGTACCAGACGTTCATGAAGTCCAACGGCGCCGACGGCATCTACGAGGGCAACCTCATCGCCTGCTCGGTCCTCCACTCGGGTGGCGTCCGCATCGGCATGTCGTTTGGCGGCGGCGGCACGTCGCCAGACTCGGTGTGCGGGCAGGGGACGTGCAACCCGGAGCACCGCCGCGGCATCATGCGCGACAACGTGATCATCAACTGAGCCGCCATCGGCAGTGTAGCTCACGAGGCGCAGGGCACGAAGATCGACGACAACATCCTGTACAACAGCGACGTATCGACTTGCGGGTTCGGAACCTCGACGGCCGAGATCCGCAGAACATAGTCGCCGGCGGGGACGTCTGCTGAACGCGACGGCGGATCGTCGAGCAGTGGATTCCGACTGAGTGACCAGCAGTAGACGGGGCTGCGTCTGGCGTATGGTCGATGCGGAAAGAGGCGAGATTCC